TTGATTTTGACGGTGGAAATTTAGGCGATCTGATTCGATTTTGACATACATATCAACCACATATTGTTGGAAAAGTCGTCCTGCATGTAAAAGTATATTGGTGGAGCGAAGCCGAATTTGAATCCGATACGCATAATATTCCATCGCACTTACAAATTTCCTGTGTCGTGTTGTACTGGTATTGCTATTTTCATATATTAGATCGTCACTATCTCTGCTATTAGGATATTCATTAATGTTAATTGTCTTAGGTAGAGGGACATTTCTGTATGGTATTTGTTGAGGAATCCATCCTTGCTCGCCATGAGGAAATAGAAGTGGATAGGCCAAAGGATCGTAGCACCCACTGAACTTAGAGATATGAATCAGCTGATTAATTCGTGTACGTAATAGAATGTCGCGTTTCTGAATCGCACCGGGAGGCACATCATCGTTGATCCAGATTGCCGCTACCTGAGGAGCCGTTGGGACATTATGGGTCCTTTGGTCAAGTCCAGGAATGTTTGTATGAATAAGCATCGATAGATTTTTGATATCTTCTTCAGGAAAATTAGAAATGTATCGAAAGTTAATAGAATAGGGGTTCACTTCATCAAGTATGGCTTTTATGTCTTCGACAATAGCAGGGTTGAGATTTGAATTAGGGATGGCATTCGTTCGATGGTGTAGTTCATGTTGGGTATCATAGATATACATCTGTAAGTAGTGGGGATTAGATCTTGCCTCTGGTAGTAGCGAACCAATCCGGTGATAAAATGAACCTTGAACACAAAAAGTATAGATGCCGTTCTTTGCATTAGTGAGCTCGCGATCAAACCTGATACCAACGGAAGCAAAGGTAAATGCCGAATTGTAAAAACGAATTTTGTCATGAAAATTCTTTGCAATATCATCCTGACTGGTAAAGAGATGGTACAAAAGTGGTGGAATAGTAGGTTCCATCAACACTACCTTTCCATTGGAACAGCACATTTCTGGACTTTCTGTAGGTAACTTAAGCGCATTACAGTGATTACATATAGTGCTGTTAGTAACATCGATTCTGTGCAAAGCAAAATAATTGCCTACATCCGTATCTTCAGAGAATTTAAGGGCGAATTTGTGCAGCTGAGGATTATTGGTGTACCGTTGGCGGTGAGCTGCAGCATCACTCTAGCGCCTCTGTTAACGTTGCCTAACAGTTTCCATGGCTCTATTTCTACGTTTTCGGGCAGCATCTGCTTCTCTGCGTTCTTGACTTGTAAAAGAATGTGCATTACGTGTCATAAGAGAACAAAAGGTTATGAATCTGCGTGAACGAAGTTTAATACCAACATAATTGAATCACTATTATACTTTTGAGTGGTGATGATGTAATAAGCATGATGTATACAGTGTTTTAAGTTCGATATATAGGTAAAGTGCAAAGCGCAATAATAAATATCCTAATAGCGGAGATAGTGACAATCTAATATATGAAAATAGCAATACCAGTACAACACGACACAGGAAATTTGTAAGTGCGATGGAATATTATACGTATCGGATTCAAATTCGGCTTTGCTCCACCAATATACTTTTACATGCAGAATGACTTTTCCAACAATATGTGGTTGATATGTATGTCAAAATCGAATCAGATCGCCTAAATTTCCACCGTCAAAATCAA